TATGACGGCCCCGGGCACAAACCTGGGCGAAAAGGTAAACGGGCGAAGCCCAGACTCCTTGACGACGAAACCTGGAATGCAGGACGAAGCGAAACCCAAAATCGACCCAAGCGGAACCTGGAACCGCCAGTGAAACCAGGAATCGCCGGGAGGCGAAATCCAAAACCAATGGAAACACCAAACCAAAACTTCCCGACCCCAGAAACGGAATTCTAAGCCTGTGCTCATCCTCTTCCTCGCACACCTCCACCACCTCATCCTCCGCGTCGTCATCCTCCTCCTCCTCGTCGTCATCGTCCTCCTCCCCCTCCTCTTCCTCCTCCCGCTCGTCCTCCTCCTCCTCCTCCTTCTCCTCCTCTCCCCCCTCCTCCTCTCGCTCGTTCTCCTCCTCGTCCGCGTCGGCCCCCTCCGTCACCCTCCTCTCCAACTTGCCCCCCTCAGGCGGCAACCACACCGCGCCCGGGCGATCAGCCGCGCGGCAGGGAAACTCCCTCCCCATCACCACCACCCCTCTTCGACTGATCCCACGATTTCCTTCATCGTCCCCTTCCTCATCCTCCCCCCATTCCATCACTGCCTCTTCCTCATCCTCCCCCCGTTCCATCACTGGGGGCTTCGGTTCCAGAGAACCGACACGTCCTCCACCCCCTTCCCCTTCACCGCGATTCCATTCTGCCCGACTCCATTCTGCCTCTTGCTCCTCCTCGTTCTTCCCCCCCTTCCCCTTTAGGACGTGCACCCTGAAACTCAGCATCATATGTTTCCTTTCGGCAGTCGCACAACGCATGGCATTGCAATGCGCTGCGCTCCCTCCCCCCCCATCCTCCCCCTCCTCGCTCCTCCCCGTCCTCCCCGTCCTCCTTCCGATCCTCACACCTCCCCTCTCATTCCTCCTCCTCCACCTCATCGCTTGTCCTCTCACCCCACCCTACCATCCTCTCCCTCTCCTCCCTCTTCCCCCCTCCCCATCCCCTCCTCCTGCCTCCTGCCTCCTCTTCCTTCTCCTCCCTCCCCCGTCTCCGCCTCTTTCGTCCTCCCTCCTCCCTCTCCGTCCTCCCTCCTCCCTCCTGCCTCTTCGGGTTGGTCTTGGGGCGGCCCCTCCCTCTCGGTCTGGCCGCGGGCCCCCCGTAGGGCTGACAGCGCGGCGCTCCGGGGCTGGCAACGGAGCGCACTCACGAAGTGTCCCATTCGCCTCCCAGCTCCTCCCTTCCCCCATCCTCGCCTTCCGCACGCTCCTCCTATCTCGGATCTCCTGATGTTAGGGCGGGCCTGCCCCCCTTCAGGGAGATTTGAACGAACCATACAGAATAGCCGAACAATGCTCAAAAAATGCTCAACAACAGTCAAAAAATCGTCCCCAGACTATTTTTGAATGTTTTTCACATCCTTCCTGTAGAGACAGGCCCGACTTAATCCCAATGGCATGAGGTCCCAACGGGTGCTGCCAGTGGCCCCCGCCTGCGCGCGCCGAGGGGCGCAGCAGGGCGGGGGGACCCTTCCGAGAACGGGCCGCCCTCCGGCGAGCGAGGGGGCCGGCGAGGGAGGGATGGGGGGGAGACGGACGGCCTCTGGGTCCTCGCCCTCGACTTCGACCGCCCCCGCCGTCGCCCTCGCCGCCGCAGGTTCCTGGCTCCTGGTTCGTTGCCCTCCTCCTCCTCCGGGTGGTCCAGGGCCTCCCCCGCAACGAGGTCCTGGCCCTCTCCCCCTCCTCCAGCTGGTCCAGGGCCTCCCCCGCAACGAGGTCCTGGCCCTCCCCCCCTCCTTCAGGTTGTCCAGGGCCTCCTCCGCGACGGCGTCCTGTACCCCCCAGCCTTTTCACCTACCCCTCGCAGTCGTGGCCATGCTCGAAGCTGGCGGAAACGGTCGGGATGAGGGGCGGCAGGGTGAGGAAGCCATGGTGGTAGTAGTGGTCGTAGTCGTGGTGGTCGAAGTGAAGCTGGTCGTCGGATGGGGCTGGGCTGGGTTGACCTGTAATTGCCACGATGCACTAAATATTAGTGCTGGTGGTGGCGTCGGCGTGGGCGCTGGAGTGGGTGCTGGAGCGCGTGCTCTCGCAGGGCCCTGCGCCGGTGTGGACTGCTGTCGCAGTCAGGAAGCCACGGAGGCCAGTCGGATGGGCGGGCCAGACGTGTCGCTTGAGACTTCTTCACCACTCATGACCCTGAAGCTGAAACACGGACAACCGCTTCACGGATGGAGGGCGCGCCGTTTTTTTAATGGGGCTCTCGCCTCAGCGCCGCGCTCTCGCAAGCCTGCAGCAGCTTCACGCAGTGAGGGCGATCCGTTTGGAAATGGGGTTTTCGTCTTAGCGACACGCGCACTCGTCGTAGAAACGTGTAGGGGTTTCACAAATGGAGGGCGGTTCTTTTCGAAATGTGGTTCTCTCCTTAGCGACGCGCACATCCGTTTTTAAGAATCGCAACGGTCTCCAGGTTTATCATAGCCCACGTCCCAGAAATGGTATTGCGGAGAAGTGTAGGAATTTCAGAGCGCAGCAAGTAGGTTGATTCGCGGTGTGAAGTCCCATGGAGGGTGATCTGACACGAATCAGGCTCGTCGAGGCGCAACAGTAAGATTGATTCGTGGCATAGAAGCAACGACGTCCTATAATGGTGCCCGCCGCTGTCTTCCAACGGGGCACCTCCCTGAGTGGCCACCAGGCTGTAGGCCCGTGATTCGCAGTTTCCTGTACCAGTCGTAGGTTGTAGTTTCCAGTGTTACAGTTCTGCTTCTTGCTGGTTACTGTAACAAGTTGACTTATTGCTGGTTACTGTAACTAGTTGATTGACCGCGCGAGGGGGGGGGAGGCCCAAAGTGGCTTTTTAGCGTCCCCTGGGCGCGTTGTCTGAATTGCTGGGGGGGCTCGAAATCGACACCCCTCACGCAGATCCGCGGGGTCAGGGTCCAAAAACACATGAGATTTGCCACATGTCTGAAATTCGGTGCCACCCCTCACGCAGATCCGCGGGGTCAGGGCCCAAAAACATATGGGATTTGCCACATTTCTGAAATTCGGTGCCACCCCTCACGCAGATCCGCGGGGTCAGGGTCCAACAACACATGGGATTTGCCACATGTTTGAAATTCGGTGCCACCCCTCACGCAGATCCGCGGGGTCAGGGTCCAAAAACACAAGGGATTTGCCACATTTCTGAAATTCGGTGCCACCCATCACGCAGATCCGCGGGGTCAGGGTCCAAAAACACAAGGGATTTACCACATTTCTGAAATTCGGTGCCACCCCTCACGCAGATCCGCGGGGTCAGGGTCCAAAAACACAGGGGATTTGCCACAGTTCTGAAATTCGGTGCCACCCCTCACGCAGATCCGCGGGGTCAGGGTCCAAAAACACATGGGATTTGCTACATTTCTGAAATTCGGTCCCATTCCTCACGCAGATCCGCGGGGTCAGGGTCCAAAAACACATGGGGATTTGCTTCATTTCTGAAATTCGCTGCCACCCCTCACGCAGATCCGCGGGGTTAGGGTCCAAAAACACATGGGATTTGCCACATTTCTGAAATTCGGTGCCACCCTTCACGCACATCCATCGCAAGGCGTGGTAACCCAAACTGCGAGAACTCCCTCGGCCCTTTACTCGCAAGGTGTGGTAACCAAGCCCGTAAACCATACACGTCTTACCAATCGCCAGGTGTGGTAACCCCTCTTGTGATCAGTTGGTTTTGCTGATTGCGAATCGGCTTCGCATGAAGTTTCGATACTGCTTCACGACAGCGCCAAGGCCTCATGACATAGCTCTTCCATGGCCCATTCTCCGAGAGAGGGGGCCGGCGGCAGGGGGCGAAGCCCTTACGGATTTTCGGAGTTCCGCGAGGATACCTCGGACATGGGTTGGAAGCCCCTCCCAGGCGCGCGGAACGCGCCCAGGGCGGCGCCGGAGGCGCAGCCAGGGGAGCCCCGCGCGGAGTTGACAGAACTTATGTTCATGCAATTGTTCATCCTTCGAATTTCAGGCTGCGTCCAGACCGGAGTGCTAGGGCGGACCCAGCCGTGGTGGCAAGCCCTCTTAATGTCCATCCTCCTCGCCCCACCCTCACCGACGGTCGTCGTGGGCCTCTGGACTCTTCGGCAGGAAGGCGCAAGGAGAGGGCCCGGATCGCCCAAGGACCTAAGCACGTGGCTGATGAGAGACGCGGCCCCAAGCACTGAAGGGGATCCGAGGCTGAACCTTCACTGTTTGAGGCCACCCGCTCATCGAGCCCTGTCGCTGAGGGGCCCGCCTCTGGACGGCGCCCCATCCCCTGCCTGCGCCCCAGCAGGTCTTCCTCCTCCGCCATCTTCCGACTGGGGACACCAAGAGGTTTTGGAGTCCCGAAACGGTGCGGTGACAGACCGTGCGGTCACCTCGGGATCCCCCAGGACCGAATCGCACGGTCCGTCAACGCACGGTTTTGGAACCTCGGATGCCCCAGTCGCCCGAGACGTCCTTGGAGAACAATCCGAGTGCGTTCTGGCCAGTGTCTCGAGGCGAATGTCGGCGGTTGCGACGGGGGCCTCCCAGGAGGCCCCCAAAAGTGGAGTACGGGCGAAGGGTAGCCTCAGGTCGGGCATGTCCTCCTGCAGGCGGACGTTGGGCGAACAAGTCAAAGATAATCAAAACATTTTCAAATATGGTCGAAAATAATCAAAACACATCGCCCCCAGACTATGTGTTTTTACCTTGTTTGAATGGTACTCCCTGTGGAGGGACAGGCCCGACTTACATGGAAACGGTATGGGCACCGTTCCTCCGGCAATCGACCCGTATAGTAAGGATGCACGACAAGGATGCAAGGGACCTTGGACGCCCATTTCCAAGCTACTCGAGCGGGGCGCGGCCAACGAAAGTGGCCAGGGATGGACCGAGGAGGCAAGGATGCAAGGGTACCCTTGGGAAGGCTGCCCATCCTTACCATTCGGGTTGACTGTATGCCACTCGCCCCACCCCTGGGCCTCTGAAGGGGGCCCCTCCCCGCCCCCGCGCCTTGCGGGTTGGCGTCGAGCACCTTCGCCTGCCTCCACTCGCCGTCCTGCAGGTCCCGCGGAGCGGAGGGAGGAGGGGGGAGGGGCAGGGAGGAGGGCCGAGGTCCGGGGGGCGGGGAGGGAAAAAGAGTCGAGGGAGTCCAGACCCCCTCGGTACCGAATGCCGATCTTGACGCGGAGAAAGAGAGGAGCAAGATGGGCGGAGGAAACAGCCCGGAACAATGACCTCGTAGAGTCATCAAAAGGAGGAAGCGGAGAAGGAGGAGGAGGAAGAGGAGTAGCAGAAGCATCTGGAAGAGGAGCAGGGGAAACGAGGAAGGATGAGCAAGCAAGGGGGGATATCACAGAGGGTGGTGCGAAACGGATTGGCTCCAGGACGCACCTGTGCCTCCCCCGCTTGGAGGGGCCTGCAGTGTTCAACGCCAGTCGTCCAGCGGAGCTTGGAAACAGTGCCAACGCGGCGGCGAAGAGGAGGACAAGGACACTCTGCGAAGACGCGCGCGGTGACACTCTGCGAAGACGTGCGCGGTGGTCCCTGACACCTGGTGTGTCGTTAAGGTCTTGAGCGATCGCATCGCTCCCAAATCTTAGGTCGTTCCATACTGGCTGGGACCAAGGCAGCTTGTGGAATGGGACCTTGAACGACCGCGTTGGCGTCGCCGCCGCATCAGCGCGGCACGGACCCACAACGCTTGACACACAGGTTGCGGCCAGCCTGGGCGAGAGCTGGAAACGCACAAGAGCAAGGGCACCCAACTTCGCACTTCGCGCTGCGCGAAGTGCGAATAACTTTGCGCTCTCGCGCCACCTCCCCCCAAGGGAGAAAAGGAGGATGAGGAGGAACCGGAGCTGAACCGCGAAGCCTGAAGCACGAATAACTTCGCGCCCTTGAGGGCGCGCCCATGTGGCGAGAGCTGGGAACGCACATGAGCGACGCTCAAAAAGCGGGTCTGACGCGAGATGGCGTAGCAACCTTGACGCGGCGGCTTACGCGGGCCGCAGTCGCGCCACGCTACGCTGGAGACGACGAGGGCGCTCACGCGCGAGCCTACGCGGGGAGCTTACGTGCGGATGTCGGAGCAGACGACCCCGATGTCTGGCGTTGCTCAACTGGCCGCGCACAGTTCCGGCGCTTGGCCTTCGCATGGCCCGGTGTAGCAAACGCCCTCGGAATGTGCATCCAGCGGGTGGCCTCTGCTTGTCGCGCATGTGAGCGACGATCAACAGCGGGCACAGTCAACCCGTATCGTAAGGGAGCACGATCATGACACAAGGACCTTGGTGGGCCGTCTCGAAGCTTTCCAAGCGGGGCGCGGCCAATGAAAGTGGCAAGGATGCAAGGGTGCCTGTGGGACGATTGCCCATCCTTGCTATGAGGGTTGCTTGTATTGCGCGAAATGGCACAGCGACCTTGCGCCGCAGTTTACGCGGGCCGTCAGCGCGGCACGCCGCATTGGAGACGACGGCGTTCGCGCGCGAGCTTACGCGGGCAGCTTGCGCGCCAATGTCGGCGAAGACGGCCCCGTTTCTTGTTTTGCGTCACCCATGTGAACCCAGCGTCCTACCCAGACGTGCGAAATCGAGTTTTTATGAACAGAGTAGCGCCCAGGAGTGCTGGATCAATTCCTGGGGAACGAATTGTCATCTCAGGCTGTTGTTTGCGCGGGCCCCTGGAGGCCGAGCGCGACCCCGAACCACCCGTCGTGATGTGTGCGCGACGAAGGAGGGCCTGGGCGCCGTGATGCCTGTAGGGGGATTTTGGACAAAAAACAAACATACCCCCCGCATGGTCAAACATAGTTTAAACATCGTCCCCGTATTATGTTTTACAATGTTTGAATATTCCCCCTGTAGAGGGACAGCCCCGACTTAAGAGTAGGATGACCATCGGCGGCGAATCCAGGGGGCCATTGAGAGGGGGCGGGGCCTCCTCAGAAGCCCTGGCGCCGTCTGAGGCTGTCTCAGAATGTTTTCGGACAAGCCGTACCCCTTCTGCGCGTTCCCCCCCCGGGCTCGCCGCCGAGACCAGACGCCGACCCCCTCCGCGACGCCTACGCGCTGTGGACGCCAAGCCGCGGGCCGCGGCGCAGATACTTTAAGCGCGGCGCCGAACTTCGGCACGAGGACCAGGACGCCAGCGAGGGCAACGGGGAAGGGGGCGCACGCACTTTCAAGCACAAGCGCGAACGAGCCCTGCGATACGGAAAAACAGGAGGATTGGGGGGGAGGGAGAAGGAGGGAAAGGAAGTCAAACAACAACATCTCAGCCTAGCCGCCCGGCCCTTTCCGCAGTGACGAGCAGGAGCGCGCTGGCGCGGGGTGGCAGCGAAGTGACCCGGGAAGGGCTGGGCGGCTAGAGCCTGCCGCCGCAGGGCCGCCGCCCCGCGCCAGAGGCAGGCGACCCAGCCAAGGCCCTGCGAGACTACGCGCGACGCCCAGTCGCACTTCGAAACAAGGCCCAGACTGCCTCGGCGACGCCTCGCTGCGGCAGGCCATTCCCAGCGGCCCGCGGCCAACAGGGGCGCTGCGGGGGTGGGGGCGGCGGCCCAGCTGACGCGCCGGCCGCGGCCGTTTGGCCCCCAGCTGGCCAGGCTGGGCGGCGAGTGCTCGACGCGGAGGCCTGCCTGTCCAGCGCCAGCGCGCCCGGGGTCCCGCCGGCCAAATCCACGGCCGCAAGCAGCCGCTGGAACACCCAGGGGGCGCGCAGCTGCACCTCTCGCTGCGCGTAGAACGCCTGCGCGGGGAGCTGGGCGCGCGCCGCGGCCCCCGCAAGCTCGTCGGCGTCCGCGTTGCCAGCGCGTTGCCAGCGCATCCGCCTCGAGGTGGCCCTTCGTCGAACGCGCTGAGAAGTAGCCACTCTGGCAATGTGGCGCCAGGGGGTCCCACACGTCCGCGCGCATCCTCTCGCGGGGAAGCGCGTCGGCCCGCAGCGCGGCGATCCCGTGGCATAGTCGCGCGCCTGGAGTCGGAGATCAGCTCCGCCGTTCCCTGGCCTCGCTGGCAGCGCGCACGGCCGCGGTGAGCTCGACGCGCCGCACGGTCTGGGCCCCGCCCCCCCGGGCCCGCTGCAGCGCCGCGGCTCCCCTGCGACCGCAGACCCCGCCCCGCCTGGGCCAGCAAGCGCCGTCGTTCCACGCCCGTGCCCGGGCCTGCCCGGGGCGGCAGCGGAGGCGGCGGCAGCTGCTGCCGGGCTTGCGCGGCAACCGCGGCGGGGCGTGCATCCGCCGAGGGCAGCGCCCCGGGGAGCGCGACCCCAGCGGGCAGGCGCGCCAGCAAGTCGGCCTCGCTCAAGCCGCCAGCCCGCAGGTGGGCGCGGCGGGCCGCGCCCAATGGGACAGCTCCAGAAGCGGTGGTCGCGCGTCTCCTCCGTGGGGCCGCAATATGGGCAGAGCGAGGGCCGGCCCCACTTGTCGGCCTCTGTTTCGGTGATGGCGCTGCCCGTGGGCACCGCGCGCAGGGCGCCCAGTCGCGTCCAGCGCGAGCTCGTCGGTCTCCAGAAGGTTGGGCGCCCCAGTCATCCGGGGTAACTCGGGTCCGGGGTAACGCGGGCTTGGATTCCCGAAAAAGGAACCCGAGTGACCCGAGTTACCCCTGATGATTTGGGGCTCTGGACGCCCGAATTATCCGGGGTAACTCGGGCCAGGGGTAACTCGGGTTCGGAATCCAGAAAAGCGAACCCGAGTTAACCCTGACCCGAGTTACCCCTGATGATTCGGGGCGAAGCCCGTCCGCGAACCCTTACGCCAAGTAGCCCAATGGTGAAGCCCGTCCGCGACGTGCCCGATGTCAGGGAGTCATCCGGCTACGGCTCTTCCTCCTCCTCTTCCTCCTCCTCCTCCTCCTTCTCCTCCCCCTCCTACATATATTCCTCCTAACTCCTCCTCCTTCTCGCTCTTCCGTACGCCATCCATCCCCTCTTAAAAGTATGACGACTTCCCCAGCCCTTCATTTCACTGCATGCGCCTCCACATCCCTGATCAGGGCAACTCGCGTGGGCATCGTTTTTGGATGGGCTGGAGAGAGTACACGAAGCGTCTATACTTTGGTTATAGATATGTTGGAGACGGCGCATGTGTTGATCCACTACATACCGTCGGTGCAAGGAGGCATTTGGAAAGGGGTTGATGTGACAATCGCTCGGCAGTGACAACCTACTCCAGGCACGGTTCGTAAACAAGGGGCCCACGGAACAAACCAAGCGACGCAGAAGCAAGCAAGAGCAACGCTGCCCCTTCTTAGAGATCCGACGTCGTGTTTTGTTTCCAATACGGGGTCCCCGGAAGTCTCGACCCCTTCCCCAGGACCAGTTTTTCACCCTGAGTCGTTTGTTGACGGCCCTGGGGCCCGGCGAGGGCCCCTGGAGGCCGAAAACCACCAACAACCTCCGTCGTGCTTTGTTCAATACGCTCGGCCTCTGCAGGTTGGGCTTCGCTCCTCTCTTCCGCCGGGCTCTGAGCAGGTGCCCGGCGGTCCTGCAGGCACTCGACGTCCTCCCCGGCGACAAAGACTGCCTCGCCTGCGCGCCGGCGCCCGCCGTCCTCTCTCCCTCGCGGGAGGGGGGGGTGCTTCCTGACACCCAGGGGAGGAGGAGGAGGAGGAGGAGGAGGAGGAGGAGGAGGAGGAGGAGGAGCAGCAGGAGGAGAAGGAGCAGGAGGAGAAGGAAAAGAAGAGGAAGACAGATGAGACCGAGGAGGAGGAAGACAGGGGAGAGGAGGTTAAGGAGGAAGATGAATAGGAGGAGAAAGAGGCGGAGGAGGAGGAGGAGATGGAGCGGAGGCAAGAAGGAGAGGAGAAGGAGGAAAAGGAAGACACGGAGGAGAGGAGGAAAGGCGAACCGACGATGATGATGATGATGATGATGATGATGATGATGATGATGATGGTGCTGCTGATGATGCTGATGCTGATATTAACGCCAATGATGCGGCTGATGATGATGATGATGAAGATGGTGGTGATGATGATGATGATGATGTGGTAGAAAGTGGTGATGATGATGATGGAGATGTTGCTGATGCTGATGATGCTGCTGATGATGCTGCTCAGGATGATGGTTATGATGATGGTGGTGGTGATGATGATCCTGATGGTGGTGATGATAACGATGACGATGATGCTGCTGATGATACTGCTGATGATGCTGCTGGTGATGATGGTGATGCTGATGATGATTGTGATGCTGATGTTGTAGTTGATGATGCTGTAACTGATGCTTACGATGCTGATGATTATGCTGCTGATGATGATACTGATGACTGATGGTGATACTGATGATGGTGATGATAATGCTGATAAGGATGATACTGATGATGGCACTGATGATGATGCTGAGGATGATGATGATGATGCTGCTGCTGATGATGATGATGACGTTTTAGAAGGGAGAGGCGAAGGAGGAAAGGGGATACAGGAGCAGGCAGAGAGAGGGAAGAGGAGGAATGAGGAGGAGGAGGAGGAGGTGGGAGGGGAATGCGGAGGAGGTATGACATAGGACAGAACCAACGAAGGGACGCAGGAGCCGCGCGCCCTCCGCTGGCGACGGGGAGGGGTAGACCTACTGATCACACGCGACGGTCGCGGTGCCCTGGGAGAGCCATGGAGCCTGCAAAAGGTAAAAACACCTCCACGACCCCCCCTCCTCCTCCTCCTCCTCCTCCTCCTCCTCCTCCTCCTCCTCCTCCTCCTCCTCGTCCTCTGGAACCTCTTGTTCTTCATTTTTGAGCCCAGTAGCGACCCCCTGATCCATGACGTGCTGCGTGCTGGCCAGAAGCTCGAGGATCATCCGACGGTGGCCACGGGGTCGCCCGAGGAACCCCAAAAAATCCTCAAACCTCGAGGTCCACCGCTCCCTCCAAGAGCAATTCTCCGAACCTCGATCGACGATTACGGCGACACCGTCGACGACGTCGCCGGCGTCGACGTCGGCGACGACGTCGTCGACGACGGCGGCCATGGCGGCGGCGGCGATGCCGATGCCGCGACGTCGACGATCACGATATCGACAACGCTGACGACGACGGCGGCGACCGGCGGCGGCGACGATGGCGCCGTCGACGGCGGCGGCGGCGGCCAGACGCGGAAGGGCGCCGCCTGCCACCTTCGCCTCCGCCGCGCCTCCCTCGAGGGCCGCGCCCACCTCCGAGGGGCGCCGAGGGGCGGCGGCGACGCCGGCTCCGACTCCGACGACGACGTCGACTCCGACGACTCAGACTCCGACGGCTCCGACGGCTCCGACGGCTCCGACTCCGTCGACTCCGACTCCGACCGCTCCGACTCCGACGCTCCGACTCCGACGGCTCATGCTCCGACGACTCCGGCGACTCCGCCTCCGAGGAGACTCCGACCCGGCTCCGGCGACTCCGCCCCGGACGACCCCGGCGCGAAGACGGCCGAGGCCTCGATCCTTCCGGTGCGCGGGCTCCCCGGGCGCCGGTGATCTCTCCCCGCCGCCGGGGGAGGAGGAAAATGAGGATGAGGAGGAGGAGGAGGAGGAGGAGGAGGAGGAGGAGGAGGAATGGGCGGAATGGGCGATCAGGCGGGTCAGCAGCGGCAGGCGCACGCAGCCCGAGGAGACGATTACTATACCAGGGGAGGAGCAGCATCAGCACCAGGAGTGGGCACGAGGGGTCCGTGGTCGGCCTCGACCATATGGACATCCTCGGTGCCTAACTCCCGTGGGTCAGCATACTGCTCACTCTCCCTGGGGTGCCTGCCCTGTCGCAGGCGGTTCCTACGGGTCTTAGCATGCAATCTGCAGGTGTGAACTTACAGATTTCGGCCGTCCCCTCAACGTGATCGACGAGAAAAATCCACAATCATAACAGAGGGCAAAGGGCCCAGTCTTCCAGAGTGCGTGGCCTCGAAACAGGTTCCTATTGCCTGCGGAGGAGGAGGAGGTCGGAGGAGGAGGGGGAACTTGGCCTCCTGGCCTCCTACAGACTGCGCGGCCCAGGCACTCTTGGAATCCGCCGACCCTGTCGGCGTGTGTGAGGGGCTTCTCCGTTCGACTCGTCGTCTCCGTCGTCTTCGTTCTCCCCCATCCCAGGGCTCTCCTCCTCAAGCGCGCTATCCAAAGCGGAATTAAATGACGTCGTAGTGGGGTCGACGGGGAGCCCCTTCCCTTTGATCCCTTCCCCGCAGAGGGGGGGGGAGGGGGGGGGCCGGGGCAGATACAACGCCCGCCGGGGCGCACTTTCCTCGAGCGGGCACGCACGGGATGGATGCACTTCCTCCTCCTCCTGGTCCTCCTCGTCCTGCTTTTCCTCCTCCTCCTCCTCCTCCTCCTCCTTTTGCTCCTCTCCTCCTTTTCCTCCTCCTCCTCCTCCACCTCCTCCTCCTCCCGCAAAGGCGTCCCGGGAGCGGGCCCCGAGTCAAAATACCACCTCCCTAAGGCGCATTTTCCTCGAGCGGGCACGCCCGAAATGCACTTCTTCCTCTTCCGGGGGCACGTCCCAAGTCAGAATATCACACTCCCGGGGCGCACTTTCTTCGAGCGGGCACACAAAATATGCACTTCCTTCCCCTCCTCCTCCTCCCTCCTTCTCCCTCCTCCTCCTCCTCCTCCTCCTCTTCCTCCTGCTCCTCCTCTCCTCCTCCTCCCCTACTTCTCCTTCTCCTCCTCCTCCTCCTGCTCCTCCTCCTTTTCCTCCTCCTCCTCCTCCTCCTCCTCCCTCCTCCTCCTCCTCCTCATCATCATCATCATCATCATCATCATCATCATCATCATCATCAGCATCAGCATCAGCATCAGCATCAACATCATCATCATCATCATCATCATCATCATCATCATCATCATCATCATCATCATCCTCCGCTTCCTCTCCCCACTCCTAGCCCTTTCGATTAGGGTCGGCGGCACCAGCCGTCAGGCCTCTCCAATCTGAATTTTGCGCGTTCCTTCCTCGCGGCGGCTCTGCGTCCGCAGCGGAGGCAGGAGACGGCAGGCCCTGAGAAACTAAGCAAGTGGGGCCTTTGCAGGGCTACTCGGGGCCTTCTTCTGGGGGCCAACGCTCCTCCTCCTCCTCCTCTCCCTCTCCTCCTGGTAGGGGGGGGGTCGGGGTGGTGTCGGCAAAAGACCCCGTCCTAACTGTAAGGTCGGCCACAAAACTCAAAACTGCTTGGACGTCCGTATATCTCTGCTAATACGTCGTGCTAGTGCCAACAGGTCGAGGGGCGAGGTCGGCCCCTTCTCGGGCCGCTCGGAGGGATTTGTTTCCCTCTGCGAGCCAGTGGGCAGGACCGAGGGGGCTACAGTTAGGCCCTGACACATATACAGCACCTGCCGCATCGGCACACCTTGTGCACACAAGCCTGGGGTGGGTTTACCTGCATGTCAGGTTCACCCCAGGCTTCTGAAACAACAGCAGAGACATCAGATAGAGCCAGGTGCAGGGTCAGGCGCCCTGAGCAAAGACTCCTCGTGCTCCTGCTGTGCGAGGACTGCACGGCCACGCTGCGGCACAGGCTGAAGCAGGCTCGAACTCGAACCTCGCACGGACGCAGCCAGGTGAGCTCCAGGCGCGGCGGCAGACTCTCGCGCCTGGACTCGCGCCAACAGCGCAGGCATCCCAGGCGCCTGAATAAACTTCTCCGCTCCCGCAGCTGGCGTTGCGACTTCGGGAGGGGGAGGGGGAGTGGCCGCATAACACAAATAATTGACCCCCCCTCCGAGAGGACTGGGAAACACGATCCTCGTTCCTGTAATGAGGGTGAAGGCCAGAAACAATGCGAGGCAGGGTGGATTTGACCCCAGACAGTTTTCGGCCAACGCATTCCTGCCCCAACTTGAAACATCGACGCGACGTATAAGCGCCGCAAGTGGTACAAAAGAACAAGCTCGATTCTATGTCTCCGCGTGGGACAACAGTCTGAGCCAACGTGTGGCCCTTGCTGAAATCTCAAACTCCAAGACAGGTGTTGCTGGGGCCCTTGCAGCCAAACAAAGGACGCGAGCCAGGGCCCTTCCAGAACTGCAGGCACCTGAGGCGCCTAGCACGACCCGCGTCCAAGAGTTCCCAGTGGTGCCAGCCTCCAGACCTGAGGAACTTAAGCCTAGGTCCAGACGGGCTCCGTTCGAAGCTCTTTATAGGGACAGCGCACAAACCTTCGGCCATGACTTTGGCCGCAAACATTAATTTGCCAATATGATCGCCAACTTCTTGATAGAGAGCTTCGGAGGCTCGGGGGTGGAGGAGGAGAGCTTGTTTGGCTAACGATTCCGCATACCGATTACCGATGCCGATTCTCCTCTCGGACTCAGGGAGACTGTCGAGGTCCTCCTGAGATCTATGAGCGGGGGCATGGAAGACACGGAACTCATGGCCCGATTTCTCATAGAGCAAGGCACCCCGACGCATTCCTCCGTAACGATGCTTATAAGACACCTGGTGATGCGACGAAGTGTAACACAGCTTAGCCACCGTAGCGCAATCCGAGCATCCGTCACCGCTGTACTCAACAAACATAGGCAGCACCGCCATAGCCTGGTGCTCGGCCGCCTGGGGGGGGGGGGTCTGCTGGGGGACGTCCCACGCCGTTCCTTTGGCGAAGGCTCGCGCATCACCTGCGTCGTCCAAAAAGACCCAGGCGTAGGCGGCCCGAGACAACTCCCCAATCACATGCCGAGCGCACGACCCATCAATACAGACGTCGAGGCCTCGGAGGTCCAGGGAATCCCACTGCATTTCTTTTCCTGAGGGATCATGCAACTTGGGGTTGAGGTCGTCGCTGGGGCAGGGCATTCGGGACCCAGGGTGGTCCCATTTCAGCTCATCCCAGAAACATCGGCCGCCGCTGCTAATCGCCTTGGCCGGCCAAGTGGGATGGTCGTCAGTAACTTCCCGGCGAGCCTGCACAGCGTCTGGATGGTCGCACTCCCGAGCACGGTGCTTCACACCGCCGGCGCGACCGCACAACGGACACAGTCCATCGCAACTGTAGCCTGCCGCGCGTGCTCGTGCGCGTGTCCGCACGCCTGAGCAGATCACGGTGACAACCAAATACGTTTCTCTCGTGCTCAGTTTCTTGCTAGCGGGGCCAAGGAGCTTGACCAGAGGCCCCGTGCACGTCCTACTACCGACAAGCGACGGGGAGAGCTCAGCCAAGACCCTCTCGCGATGCCTCTGGGCCCCCAACTGAAGTAACTGAGCCACGAGGCAGGGGGAGTTGAAACCAAGGTGAACCACCCAGTTGAAAATCATCGACCCACGTCAGGGCCGAAACAGATTGCCAGTCAATCCTATTGAGCGAGAGATGCATTCTCTGGATGGGCCCTCGAAAGCTCTTCCAAGACAACCCCTCACCCCGAGGAATAACGTTCCACATCTGACACAGTTCCTTAATGTTAGAGTGGGACGTGGAGGGGGAAGTGAGGGCAATCCAAACGATATGAGCCCAGTGCAGGGCTGGAGCAAACCCAGCCCTCCAAGCAAGGTCCCCACACAAGGCCAAGTTGGCATGAAACGAAACGCCCTGGTGATACTGGGGTTTGTACGCAAGTAAAACTCTCTGGGCTTGCTTCATCTCCTGATCGCCCATGCCGACAATGGCGGCCCCGAAAGTGGCCGCGGGGGCCACGCCCGACACATAGATGTTTCCAATTCTACTCTCCTGACGGGGCAAACGGTCGCGATACCTTTTCAAAATGCCGTGTCTCTTGGACATACGTTTGAGACGTTGCTTCCTTTTCCATGCAACGTGACGCGACGACCGTGTTTGTCCCATCGCCAGGTCGGTCCCTAGCACGACCGCGCTGTTGGTGATCGTGCCCGCCACGCCGCCGAGCAGCCTGCCGAGCTTGCGCGCCAGCGAGAGGGAACTGGCATACGCGGTAAGCTTGTCCGCCTGTAGCTGGACCTTCACGCAATCTAGAAAAATGATGTACATGGCCGCCGCAGCCTTGGACATCCTATCAAGCACCTCGAGCTCACTCTCTCCTTCTGTCGTGAGCGAGTCGTCATCAACATGCGACGATGAGGAAACCATCGGGTGCTCAAGGGTGAACAGATCAAACGCAGCTAAGCTGCACACTCGAAAAAACAAATCGTTGAATATATCGCCCGCCGGCAACCCCGACCCCGCAAACATAGGAGCGGTTCCGTGCTGAGCACCTAAACGGAGCAAACGTGGGCCCCTCCAAAAATTACGAGTCGCCCTGGCGATCACAAGGTGAAAACCGCGGTCCAGGGCCCGCTTTTTTTCAGGAGTTCGAGGTCGAAGCTTTCAGAGTATTTGGTGCCGTCCCAAATCACTCCCCCCGAGACTTTATCAGAGTAAGCCGAGACCTCCGCTCTGGCCGCCTGGTGCCACGCAGCATCCTCGGCGCTGCGTCCTGGTCCAAAGGCCCTTAACCTTCGAAGGTAATCGTCAATGAAACGCAACAGAACTGGCCTCCTCAGCCTATCCCAAATACGGGCGGGGACAGCGCGCAAAAGTATGGGCCGCAGGCCCACCCTTGGGTTTTTCCCGGAGGGGGAAAACCACCCAAAACAATTGTTTGGGGAACAAACCCAAGCTTTCCACGGCCTGATACAGAGCTCCCAAAGTTCCAAGAGCCGCGTCCGACACAAGCGACAAGTGTTTGGGGTGGATGCCGTCAAGGGATTGGGAGGTGAGGGAGGAGAAACTGGCACTGGCGCTCCTGATGTCGGAGGCGCTCGCGCGAGGAATACGAGCACGGCGCGGCACCTCAACCGTTGACGGGTGAGACGTCGCATGCTAGAACTTGGCCAAAGTCTCAGCCTCCGCTCGCAACAAAGATCGAGGATCGCTGCTGTGCTGCCCAGGAGGCGTCTGCACCACAGTCGGGGTCAATGTTTGTTTCAACTGGGTGAGCCTGTGCATGGCCCGAGCCCCCCCCCTAACGCTTTCTCCTGCCATTCGTCCCACGAGTCCTGCTTCGCCTTCAAGGGGCTCTTCTGGGCCTGCAACCTGCCATCCTCGAGGCAGTCCAGCAGCTCGCGCGCGTCTTGCACCCGCACCTCGAGCGAGGTAGGGGGCCACTTGCGCACGAGCACGCGCACCTGCGCCACCGCAGCGCCCAGGCGCGAGGACAAGCCCTCTCCAGGGCACGGCTGAACTAAAAGTTACCGCACCTGCTGGCTCGAATCCTGCGAGACCTCTTCGCCTTTGACGAGCTCCGTCGACGGACCCCGCGCGGAGCCAAACAAACGCGAAACCACTCCTTATGGTCTCGGGCAAATGCTGGGCTAACCAAGCCCACCCGTGATCAGCCGGCTGAGTGCAAGCACTCTTAGGGAAAGTAAACATGGGCACCCATCTCGCTTGGGGGCATTCACCCTTGAGACCCTTGGTCGCCAGAAGGGGCCCCCAAGTAGGATCCGAGCTCCAACTCCAACTTATTCACAGAAACGCGCCAAGCCTGGGCAAGCAACTCCCAAGAGAACCCCACGGGCTGGTCCAACGCAGCCTGCGCCGCACTCTCGGCTATATCCCGAGCGAGCGCCCAATCCTGGGGTCTGGGGGTGGGCCCGAAGGGAAGTTCAGCGGGGGGGCGGGGATGGCTGGGGTAGACCAGCTGATACAAGCGAACCGCTTGGTCCTTGAGCTGAAGGACCACGGGGCGGTGAGGGCGGCTGCCCCATTGCATGTCACAATGGACGTGCGCGATGGCTCGGCTCATCGCCGTGCTACACATAAAGAAATCTATGGTGCTAAGCGAGCAAGAGCTGGCGCACGCACGTTCCTTGGGGGCGAACAGAAGGGAACCGAGTCCCCGAGCCACGCCCGACGATTCGACGAGGGAAGGGTCAAGGTTCCAACCGCCTCCGCAGAGGCTCAAATGCTCCTGCTCGAGGGCCTTGCCAATGGCCCCAAGGTGCGCAACGTTGCGTTCGCACAGCCCCGATCCCGCTTCCAGATAGGCGCAAACTATGGCGAAGGGAGGCCACGACGGGATATCGACCACAACTTTCATAACACGGGCAGGGGCGACGACGCCCCCTCCTTCGGGCCACCTCAGGCCCACGTGGGCCCTGACCAGGACGGCAGCGCCCCATTTGGGCCTCCCAGAGGCCCCCAGAACCGAGGGGGGAGCGAGCATCTCCCACCCGAGTTTGCCCACGGCCGAACAGCTCTCTCCCAGGAGGTCCTCGGAAAAGCCAACCTCCTGCGCCAAAAAGATGAGCGCGCTAGAGGTCGCCAATCTGTCGCGCAAAGTGTTCCAGGAGTTACCGTCATAGGTATCGATGCACTCTCCGCCGCCACTCAAGCTCGAAACATCGGAGTCGGGGCGAGGAGGAGGAGAGGGGGGGCTGGACCGTGCCATGCCTGGACAGCCGCATGCCACAACAGAGCGGCAAGGCGGGCTGGCTAGAAAACCTGGTGGGGCTCATCACTCCTGCATCAGGAGCACCGCTGACGTTTGGCGAGAAGGGCCTGGACCTGCTGCACGAAATCCCTCTTGTCGACCCGCTGGGCAGTGTAGAAGAGCTCCTCCATGTCCACATCGTCGTCGCCTGCTGGAACCTGCTCGCCTGGAGTCTCGGAACGATCAATGCCAGCGTCGCCGTTCGACTCAGCACGTTGTTGTCCACCACCCACATCGCCACCCACATCAGCAGTAGCACAATGGAACGGTGAAGACGCTGTCTCTGGTCTCGTCAATGCACGGTTCTGCTGTGCCTGCAACAAGCGTGTGTACTTCTGAAACGTCTCAATCTGGAGGAAGGCGGCGACCTCATCCTTCTCAGCACCAGCCTCCACCTCCTCCAGGTTGAGCACAGGAGCCTCAAGCCGACCAGGAAGGTTGCGCACCAACTCCCGATTGAGCTCCAGGATCTCCTTGTCCACCACCACCACCTGCGCCTGCAAGCTGTCCAGCTTCTCCTGCGCTTGGGTGATGATGGCCAGTTGACCTGCTGCATCTTGAACCAACTTAGCCTTCTTGGCCTCCGCCCGCGCCAGCTTGTGCCCCGTGTTGGTGTGCTGGGTGAGCGCTGGCTTGAGCGAGGCCAACTCCTTCTTGGCGGTGACCAGCTGCTCCTCGAGTGCAACCTTGGCCGCCGAACCTTCGTCTCCAATCTTGTCGACCGCATTGATGGCGGCCTCAAGACTCTGAATCTTCGCACGTACTTCCTTTTCTTCGCTGTCCACCTTAGCTGGTTCGCCGCCACCAGCTGTCGTGGTTGACTGTGTTGACTGGGTGGATTTGACCAACTGCTCGTGGCGCTTGGTGAGGGCATCGAGCTGCTTCTGTAGGTCTTGTTGTTTCTTGCCACCTCCGCCAGGACCGCGAGGCCCACCAGGAGAACGCTGACCACCACCGCCACCGTTGATGCCCTTCTTCGTGTTCCGTTTGGCGGCCGCGGCCACCGCAGGCGGGGCGGCGCGCCCGCACCTGCACTCGACTCTCGACGCCCAGTTGGTGTTGAGGCCGCAGCCCGTACACGACCAAAAGGGAAGTCTGGGGCCAGCGAGGACTGGCCCATCCATGGATGCCCCCGCAGGAGCGCGACTGCAAACTGGTGCCCAACAGGGCGTGCGAAAAAGGGCGAGGCCCGCAACAGCAATTGGCCGCTTCGAAGAGGCATGCTGCTGCAAGCTCAGAAGACTGCCTGAGCCGAAACGGCTGGCCGCTCGGAGGAAGGAGAGGAGGAGGAGGAGGAGGAGGAGGAGGAGGAGGAGGAGGAGGAGGAGGAGAAGGAGGAGGAGGAGGAGGAGGAGGATGTGATGGGATGAAAGGATGGGGGATGGGATGGGATAGGAGGGAGGAGGAGAGATGGGATGGGGGTTGGGAGGGGAGGAGGTGGGATGGGATGGGGGGCAAGGGGGGGAAGCCCTGGAGCCCGGGAAGCCCGATGCCCCCGAGGCCTGGGGGCCGGCCCTCCCGGGTGCCGGGAGGGGCGACAGGCCCGCGCCCTTCGCCTGCCGCGGGGCCGCGCGCGCTCGCGAGGCGGCGCCGCGGGGGGCTCCAGGATCGAGGAGGCCGAGGAGATCGAGCTTCCGATCGAGGCGTCCGCACGCGCCCAGTGCTCTCTCTCTCTAGCGGCCGCCCGCAGCCTCGCGCGGGGCGACTGCACAGAGGCCCCCCGGGGAGCCACCCATAGGAGGCACCGGGACTGTGGGGGCCCCGTCCCCTCTGGATGCCCAGACGCCTGGCGGCCTCCCCAGCTTATACACCGAGGGACGACGACGACGACGACGACGACGACGACGACGACGACGACGACGACGACGACGTCGACGTCAACGACGACGACACCGACGACAAGAAGCAACGACGGTTCGTTCGCCGCCGGGGTTCCCGCGGCAGCCGCGCCGGCGAAGGGAAGGGAGCCAGCGGAGAGCGCAGGGTCAAAGCTGGCATCACAGCGGGCCCCGAAGGGCGCGCGAGGTCTTGGGATGTCTGACCTCCCGGGCAGGAGAGCCCAGAGTCGAATCGGTAAATCGGATCGGCGATCAGAATGAATTGGATCGGCGGAAATCGGCAGCCGATTCGAGAAAAGTCGAATCAGCAGACATCGGCAGGCCGCTATGCCTCCAGTGAGAAATCGGAACCCAAATCGGAATCCCAAGTCGAATCGAATCGGAATCGGAAGCCATCGAAGTCGAATCGAATCGAATCGGTGGAATCGAAACGAGCCCTGCCCGGGTCGCCCGTGTCGCCGAGGGCGGCACACGGCGAGCACCACAGGAGGACGCCGACGGCAGACCCTTCGGAAGTCGGTGGAGGCTTCGAATGGCAAATCGATTGAATGATCTATTCGGTCTCGAGTGAATGATATAGCGGCTCGGGCAAGAAATCGTTGACTGATACTGGTCACCTAACTTCGCGCATCGTGCTCCGCGATGCGCGACGCGCGGTTCACTTCTCGCGCAGGCCCCATGAGAGTGTCAGAAAAGCTCTTGCCCAGAGCGCAGCGTGCCAAGAGCGATTATCTCTTAGCACCCCCCCCGCGGGTGACCGAGAAGCGAGGCAGGAAGGCGTTCAACGTTTGTATATACTAAAACCACGCGCGCGCTCGCGCGCGCTTAGGTTCTAGCCGTGGTCACGGAACAGCTCCGAAGACGATATGAGCTGGCACAAGTCCAAGTATGTGGCGTTAGCCCAGAAATCCGACCTCCTCCCCGTCTTCCTACTCCCCCTTCGCCTCCTCCTGCCTCTCCGCCCCCTCCTCCCCATCCCCCTCTTTCCGCCCCCCCTTCCCATCCCCCTTCTCCTCCACCTCCTCCTCTCCCTGGTATTCCTCCCCCTCTCCTCCTCCCCCTACTCCTCCTCCTCCCCCTCCGCCTCCTTCTCCTCCTCCCCCCGGCCTTCTCTTTCCCCTCCTCCTCCTCCTCTCCTCCTCCCCCTCCTTTCCCCCCCCCTCTCCCCTTCCGCATCCTCCGACTCGTCGCCGTCCTCCTCCTTCTCCTCCTCCGCCTCCTGCTCCTCGTCCTCCTCGTCCTCCTATTCCTCTTCCTCCTCCTCCCTCCTCTCCACTCCCATCCTTCTCCATATTCTCCCCCCCCCCCCGTCCTCCCCCTCCTCCTCCTTTTCCCCCTCCTCGACCTCCTCCTCCTCCTCATTTTCCTCATCCTCGTCCTCCTACTCATCCTCATGATCCCTCGCCATCATCTTCCTCCTCTTCCCGGCCTCCTCCCTCCTCATCCTCCCCCTTCTCCTCCTTCTCCCCCTCCTCTGCCTCCTCCTCCTTTTCCGTCCGGTCCTGGTCCTCCTCCTCCTCCTCCTCCTCCTTTTCCCTCTTCCTCATCCCCCTCCTTCCCCCCTCAAGAAACTCGACGCTGGAATTTGTTCACAACGTGGGCCCAGGATATCCCGACGACTTCCAGGGGCCGACTGTTCATCCCGACTTGTGTTTTACGGCCCCGGGTCCCCGCAAGGGCCCCATGGAGGCTGGAAGTTGTGCAAAGCTTCCCGTCGTGTTTTTTGTCCCGACGCGAGGTGGGACCACCACCAGGGCAAGGAGCCAGGGGATGCCACCTGGTGGTGTGGCCACACCTCCCCGCTCGAGACATCCCCGACCTCCAGCTTGAAGGGGCATCGCGGACCTTCTCGATGAAGCTGGCTCCCCTGGTGGTGGTGGTGGTGGTGGTGGTGGTGGTGGTGGTGGTGTTGGTGGTGGCGGTGGTGGTGGTGTCGCTTCTCTTTCCCCCGAGCCCCGGGCCTCAACGGCCTCAGGACGGGAGGCGCCCGCCCTCGAAGGCGGCGCGGCGGGCCCGACGCGACGCCGACGGCGCTCCCTCGGCGCCTATCCTGCTTTTCATTTTGGGGGAGCCGGTTTCGGGCCCAGGGGCCATGGGGAAAAAACACCAGCATGGCCCGTGGGATATGTTTGTCGTACACCTGTGACATGCATCTTGGGGACCCCTTCGGGAGCTGCTGGCGGTTTCTTGGGGGCCTCCGGGGCGTTTCTTGGAGTCTCCTAAAGGCTTTTCGGGGCCGAAGGCTCGAAAAGTCCGTTCGGATTCCCTGTCTGGGGTCCTTCTCAGAGCCGTCTTGGGGCTATCTTGGACCGTCTTGGAGGCCTCTTGGGCTGCTTGGGTCCCTCTCGGGCTGTCTTGGGGCCGTCTTGGGAGCCTCTTGGGCCGTCTTTGGGCGATCTCGGGGGCCTCTTCGGTTACCTTGGATCGTCGGGAAGCCGCAAAGGTGAGAAGCATAACAATTCTTCCAAAACCATCGAAAAAAAACAACCATTTTCAGCCTCTTGTGGCCCTCTTGAAAGAAAAAACTCTTGGAGGCCTCTTGGGGCGTCTTGAATTTTTTTGGGCCGTCTGGGGACTACCTTGCCTGTCTTGGACCGATCTTGTGGCGTCTCGGAACCCTCATGGACATCTTGGGTGTTCCCTGGGGCCGTCTTGGAGGCTTCCTGGAGGCCTCCTGGGCCGTCTGGAGGCCCCTTGGAGGCGCTAGGGCGGGGGTATTAAAAAGGGAGCCCGATGGTTTTGATGTGGGCGGGCCCCCCCGGGCTGGGGGCCTGGCATTCATCCATTATACCTATATATATATATATATATAGGGAGAGAGAGACATAACGAGAGAGAGACATAGTTATGTATGTATATATATATACACATACATAAATATACATATACATATATATATATATATATGGATTCAAAGAGACCACAACAACTCAGGGCAAGACCTAAACGGTGTTGTTGGTGATTTCGTGGGCCGTTTTCGTTTCGACTTCGTTTCGCGGTAAAAGGAGGATTCGAAACAAAAGCAACGGATAACGAAAACAAAGCGAAAACGAATAACACCGCTTAGGTTCTGCCCTGCAACAAGTCGTAAACGAACGGTCACGCACGCATCTCCAACAAGGGAGTCAACGACAAGGCGCCCCAACAAATTGCCCAGAGTATGCCACCAGGGATGATGGTCCATGTCGTGGCGACGCCGAAGTTGGCATCTGACACCGCGTAGATGCGTAGATCGTTCACTATGCAGCGATCCCCCATACACGACTGGGAAGATTGTTCAAGATTTAACTCGTTCAGGACGACGTTGGCTTTCACTTTTGAAGGCCCACGCAAGCGTTGCCGCCGCGGGGCGGGCATGCATGGCACGCCTTGGTAGGAATCGCCAGAGAACCATTGAACAACAAAAGCCAACAACCCCCTGGGGTTAAAGATTTCCCCCCCGACCCCCCCAAAAAATCCCCCTCACTGCAGTTTTTCAGTTTTTCTTCGGATCTTGGAAAGCTGCCCCCCCCCCCCCCCCCCCCCCCCCCCCCCCCCCCCCTTTGGATCGGCGATGGGTTGAATCCCTGGAGGAAACGGTTATATCCCCAGCTGAGCGGTTCAATCCCTGGAGGTCGTCCAGGGATTGAGCTCGTCTGGGTGGCCGGCGCCTCACATGTTTCAGCAGCTGCTATATAACTGTATAGCTGTGTATACCTGTGGCTCATCTTACATCCAGAAATCCAGGAGTCACCTCAATGGCGGCGCCTCTGAATTTCCTGAGCAACTTCATCTGGGGATTGAACCGTTCTGGTTCGCCTACGAGAAGTAGTGAACAAAAAACAGCAAAGACGTTACTCATCTTGACAATGATCGCTTCTTTTGCGGTATCGGCCGTTGCAGTGGATGCTGTAGTAGGAACTGCAGTGTGAGCTGGGGCAGTAGCTGCATTGGTAGATGTAGTGGCATCCGCAGCGGTGGCTGCAGTGGTAGCTATACTGGTAGTTGTAATGAATGCGGTTGTGGTAGGTGTAGTGGTAGCTGTAGTGGTAGCTGTAGTGGTACATGAGCTGGTATATGTCGTGGCAGTTGTAGCGGTAGCTGAACTGGTAGCTGGACTGGTCGCTTTCACGGTAGCCGAACTGGTACTCGTCGTGGTACTTGTAGTGGTGCTTGCACTGGCACTTGTAGTAGCAGCGAGTGGCACCTGCCATGGTAGATTTACTACGTGCTCTACCGGGAGCTGCAATGTCACCTGCAGTGGTGGCCGTACGGGCACCTGTGCTGGTAACAGCACTGGGAGCTGTATTGTTAGCTGTTGTGGTGGCTGTAATGGTAGCAGACGTGGTAGCTGCAGCGGTAGCGGTAGCTGTCGTTGTAGCTTTACTGGGAGCTGTGGTGGTAGTTTTACTGGGAGCTGCACTGTACTTGTGGCGGTAGCTGTGCTTGGAGCGGTAGCTCTATTGGGAGGTGTACAGCTACCTGTGCTGGTAGCTATGCTTACCAGCGAATTGCATGTTATCGCTGTGCTTACCAACAGGCTCAAGAAGGCTTCCAACAGGCCCAAGAAAGCATCCAGGACGCCCAAGAAGGCCTCCAGGACGCCCAAGAAGGCATCCAGGACGCCCAAGAAAGCTTCCAACAGGCCCAAGAGGGCCTCCAGGACGCCCAAGAAGGGCTTCCAAGACGTTCGTGAAGGGCCTCCAGGACGCCCAAGAGGGCCTCCAGGACGACCAAGA